AGAACTGGGGGACAGGGTGCCCCAGGATGCTGCCTTATATACATGAGGGAAAACCCCCCAGGGACCAGTAATGGACCCCTGGTACCTAGCTGGGTAAGGATTACTAAGTATCATGTGCTCTATGATGTCATATATGATGTCATAGTCTGGCCCTGCCCTGCCCTGGGCCTAGGGTCCAGAATTGACTGGCCTATGGCCTAGTGCCTGAGCCTAGCTCCTACCTATGATGTCAGAATGATGTCATGGTCCAGAAGGAGTCTGGTTTCTATCTAGAAAAGGTCCGGCATCAGAGTCCAGCCTGATGTGTCCAGAACAAGATCATGTGTCGCTTATTTAAGCGGATAACCCCTTAGATATGTAGATGTACCCATATGCGGACGGATAAGTATGGATAAGTCCCTATACCCTTTGATATGTCCGCAGAAATAGCGGAAAAATTAGGTAAAATTAGGGAAACTGTGACAAACGTGCATTGTGAATACCTCGCTACTAAGGAGGAGTGTAGAGTCCGAAGTACGCACCAAAGTCGTAGACAGAAGACAAGCCACAGTGGATGGCGAAAGGGAGAATCAGACGAATCACAACGACGTGTAAATCGATGTGTTAGTGTAAGTTACTGTCAATGTTCAGCATTACTCGTGTAAGATATGGATGTAGCTGGGAAGAACTCAGGCAAGAGAGAATCAAACTGGCGCGCGAAAGGAGCCGGACTTCAAGGGCGCTTATTATACAACTCTTGTCCGGCTCGTCTCCGGCATCTTGCACTGTTCGTCTAGATCTGGGTCTGTACAGTCATGATCTACTCAATGTGATTCGGGAAGGCAGAAGACAAGCGGACCTCCGTTGGTTTTACGGCACACAGAAAATATATTCTAGGATGATCAGTTAGTGACGTTTAATCAACATGTCATGGGTCCCACGTATACCATCTCAGCGCACGAAAACGTGTTCAATTTCGACTTTGCGAGAGAACAACATGGCAGAAGGTGGGGAGCCGTTACTTTCGTCATCATGTGATAGTGTCGCGACTTGAGGTCAAGCAACAGGGAAATATCTAGAAGCGAGGGGCATCCGACTGGTTCTCACCGAAGCGATGGTGAGCCAGGCTCAAACCTAAGGCTAGGGACAAGTAAGTTAGCATTAGAAAGGTAAGTAAGTACATGAGCTTACTGACCTAGGGACAAGAGGTCAAAACTGAGGACCCTAGGGCAGCAGAGGCCGGCTTATATACATGGGGAGATAAGGGCAGGCTGTGCGCGCTGGTCCGTGCGCAGCTGGTCTGTGCGCAGCATGCCGACGCGGCCCCGGGGGCCGGTGAGTCAGAGCGGCTGCATCAGCGGGGCCCGAGCTGTGCCGTGCACTGCCGTCCTATCTAATCTAATCGTACAGTAGATAACAACGCGTCCATATCAGGCAGGTAGTACAGAGGTCGCGGGTTCGAGCCCGCGAAAAGGAAAAAATTAAAAAACGGCTAGACGCCATACCAACTCGTGACAGATAGCCAGCGTGGCAGATGGCCCAGGCAGACACCACGGTCGGTGTAAGAATATATACCCCTGTGCTCATAAAGACATCCATAGTTTCACAACGTGCACCTATCCTATTTCAATGTTCGCTATGTCTCTCCTCTCGTTTCAATCGCTGACCAATCCGGAAGATTAGCATCATCTACATGCTTTATCTGAGGCAGAATCGATTGAGTCAACGGAGACGATTCTCTCTGCCCTATCATTGGAGACACAGAGGGCCAATTCTTCACCTCCCACATGCACCTTGGTCCTTCAGCACAACTCTCCCATTCAACCGAAGAATCTTGATCACGATTGGTATAAGTGGTATCTGTTGGAACAACGGTGTGAACGGCGCGGGGGCGCATTTGTCCACGGGCGTAGCGATGCCCGTCAGGGACAATCGCGTGCGGTACGTACATCGCGCGGGGTCGTTATATACTACGATAGGGGCCTCCGGCCCCCAGCTACTCGCGCGCCCGAGCTTGCGAGCTCGTTCCTGACTGCGCGGGTCAGCGCGTTTCAACAGTATCCTGCACGGGTTCACATCAAGAAGCTCGAATCATCTGAGGATACGGAGGTGTACATATGTACCTTATCAGTCCGGGACATGGATGGCGTACCGATGGCTGAGCCTAGCAAGCTGGACGTGGTGTGCAAGGTCAAGAGAAGATATAGCGGGATTGAGGAACTCCGTGACGAGCACGACTGCTACGTCAAACTACGAGATTTGCAGGGTCGGGAGATCCCCAAGTGCTATGGGTTGTTTCAGAGCTCTGGAGATGCCCTTTCTCTAGACAGGGCCACTCGGCGGTCTACCTGGGCGTGTCTCGTATTTGCATATTGCGGGAAAGGTCTTCCTAAAAACCTCATATGCATGCCCTGGGAATTCAAGTGAGTCGTCTGCATACTATACTACTTGACAGAAAGTGACGTAGCATATCTCAAAGAAAACAGTTTCTGGTGAATCTTCAGATGATTCACAGGCACGAAGTCATTCATCGTGATCTCCGCACCCTTGGAAATGTTATTGTTTCCGACAATGGCAAACCAATCATTGTCGATTTCGGGAAAGCCAGATGTGACCATCAATGTGGAGAGACCGAAGCAATTCCTTTCCACGTTCACGCGCCCTTTGATCAACCTTGCTATGAGTTAGCCGAGGCTGCAGAGGCGACGTGGCTGTGGAAAGCAAGTAGGTTCTTCATGCCCCTTGAGTTTGATGGTGCCTACATGGTTTACTCGCTTTTGCAGGAGAATTCATGAGTAAACTTGGAATTCCGATTCCTGTCCGTGTCATAGAGAATGATGAGACGACCTTGGAAGAGAAGATAGTCAAAATTATGAAGCTCAACACTCCCCAAGAGGTCTATTCTCCTACCCCTATCGATTTCAGAAAGGAAGCAGAGAACGAAATCAAGAGGTATGAGTTGGCAATGGAGATGAGGCGCACATGCCAGTTGCCTCCTGATGGGTTCTGAGGAATGAGTATGGGATCTGGAAGGCGATATCGGCATGTCACTCGTCACTCGTATCAAGTGTACTTATTCCAAAGAGTCAATATTCACGAACTAGTAAGAGATGATTGTCCACTTGGATTTCCGCAGGCGAGCACAAATAGTCCAATGGGGTCTTTCACAGGGGCCCGGCTATGTGATTTACGTACACAAACGCTACTACATCCCTGCAAACGGGCGCATCCATGATATCTGTGTCGTTTAGTCAGTGATCCCAGCGTGACATACCACTAGATGCTCTACTTGAGGTTTGCATCGACTGGACAGCGCATGGCATCGCTTGTGACAAGCCTATTTCCGAATTTCTCTCCGCACCACTCCAGAAGCACCGGCTGAGAACGTTGCATACTCATCTACCTGTAAGAGGTGTATATTGGCTGGCTCCCCGAGTTTTCAATCAATGGATTGGACTGCTCACGCATTGTACTATTCAGTGAGATCGCACGTGAATTCCAATTGGCAATGCTGGCAGGCCTTCGGATTAATCGATTGACGACTCAACGCCTGGAAACATATTCAAACACGTCGAGGTAGCTCCGCCCACCGTGTCTGTAGTAGATTTCATTTGTCGCCTGTCGTCCAGCGATGGTGCACTTGATGTCGCAGAGAGTATCGGGCTCGGGCTTCGGTTGACCAGCCGCTCTTCGCGAGTCGAGAACGTGATCAGGTCATGGCTGGATCATGCTTAGTCATAAGCAACCGTTTCTGCCTGAACGCTTCAGATAGCGGAAGGTCGTCTGTTTTCAGCGACATTTGAGCGGGAACGCACCTAGTCTTTTGCAAATCTTACGGGTTTATACTCCTAAAACTCAAGGCCGACAGCCAGTACACTCAAAAGTCCTGGTCGTCAGCTACGTTGTGACTTGTCTCAAGTTCTCTGGCGAGCTGGACCCTTCCGCAGTGGTATGCGCTGTTCTAGCATCTTGTCTCAACACATCAATCTATCTTATGACGCGAAAATCATTTGAGCTGCAGGTTTTGAGCTCATATGCCTCGCCACGTCACGCTGCGCGTTACTTGCCTGCGAGCGACGCGGGCTCGGTACAGGCACTTTCGTGTGAACGCCATCTGCGTCTCCTCGGGAGTGAGCATTGATTGATGCAATATGTCTGTATGTCTAGGCTACAGATGATCGTGCAATGGACAGTAGGGCATCTACGAGGCGACATTGCGACCAGTTGGCAGGTGCGTTGTCGGCTATATGCTGGAGTCTGCGCGGCTGAAGGCGATCGCTCAATCTTGGTGTCATCATGGCGGATTCAGTCTGCTCTACTTTAAATCCTTGACCGCGTCTCCTCTGATCCTCATAGGTACAACCAGGTGGCTTTGATTATCGGCTGTCAAGCGCTGCCTCTCGCGAACTTCAATCTCAGACTGTTGTCTCCACATCCACTCTGCTATAAATTGCCCGCTGTCTCACTTTTGTACGTACAGGGGTCTCTTACCTCCTGCAATTGCCGCGCTGTCACTCTCTAAAGGCTGTAGGGAATTATTCATATTGCCTTGTCGACACCGTGTATGCATGAAGACCATCTCTAGAGAATCGAGACCCTGGAGGGCAGTAATCATCATCATCACAGACCGCAGATGTGTCGCAGTGCATGCAGTTCAATCCCACGCTGCCAGCGCGCTGCGCACACTGAAGCTGTCGGTGCACTATTGCAGGACATTGGGTAGCGCGGATGTCGTCCGTCGCACCTGCCTACGTCCAGCGTCGTGCTTCATGACTACGGTTGAGTGCAGCACTCGTGTAGTATTCCCGATGAGAGCAACTAAATTTCCTTACCACCACGGTTGAGATCATCATCTGATGCTGTTCGTACCTCTAGATAGAGTTGCATCAGACAGTACAGATATGCTGTCCTAATCTGGTCCCATTCTGCTCGCTCTCAAGCGTGTTCATCCATCCATCTCGCTCCATGCCAGCGGCAGCTGGCTACCGTTCCCTACCCTCCAACCCTCGACGACCAGGCGAGATACTTGTGTTTCCTACTCGCAACACCGTAGTCATTCGTTTCCCCCACATTCTCTCTGTCTCCCTTGTCTTGCACTCTGTCACTCAGGCGTGCACGTGCGACCCTCTACATATCGTGAAGGCCGGTTCCTCCTCTCCAAGACTTGCAGTAGGTGTCGGACATGGTGCACTGGCGAGCGCTCGCCCTAGCGCTCGTTTACACGCACGCCACCATCGTGAGCGGGGTTGCCTCTCGCAGGACCTCTGTCCGTTCTTCGCGAGTCTCGCTACAACACGACGATGGATTCTTGCAAAGAATCGCAGGTTAGTTCGTCTTTCGCAAAGAGCGGCCTCCCACCTTCGTCATACGCTCATGAACCGTTTCTGCCGACTCGTCCAATAGCTGCCCAAAATCATTGTGGAGGACCGACTGCAGGCTGCGAGCAGATAGCATCATTGGTTCCTAATTCGACTCACACATCATCAGAACGAGGAGAGCTATCTTTTGAAGCACAGTTGCCCCCAGAAACAATTACGGGCCCCTCCAAACGTGCGCGAGTGCGCCATTACCCCACTGGCAAGCGCACTGCCGAGGACCACGCTTTAACAGAATCACATACGAGTGCCTCCAGTGATGCGACTCTCCTGTTGGGTACACTCGCGAATGCTAGCGACGAACTGGGCCTCAATGCAACGCTCGCAATGAGCCTCACACTGGAGAACCAAGAACTTGATGCCGTCACGACGGTCATTGTCACAAAGACTACAGTGGTAGTCTGGCCGTCTACAACATCGGCAGTGACCACGTCTGAAACAAGTTCAGCACACAGCACTTCGTCACTTTCCCTCGCTTTGATTTCGTCTAGTTCTACGTCGGCTACTTCTTCTACGCCCAGTACGACCTCTGTAAGTTCAGCCTCCTCGGAAAATGCGACGTCAGATAGCACTAGTATTTCAAGTAGCACCTCTAGTTTGCAACCGCTCAGGACGCTCTCGGCTACGCATCTTCCTACTTCGCGCTCGTCCATCTCGCCCATTTCCGTCTCGACAAATTCGGTACTGCCGAATGAATCATCGACTCCGCCGCAGTTGATTTTGTCGAGCACCAGCTCCACCACCAGCGTTACCAGTTCTAGTTCCTCATCGGGGAGCTCGTCTATGACTAGCTATAAGACAAATATATCGTCTTCCCCTGCCCCTTCCTCGTCAACCATTTCATCTCCGATCTCTATGCCTTCCACGTCTTCCCGTCCCACTGCCGTCAATTCTACATCCAGCGATATGCCATCCGCTACAAGTGTGACTAGACACACATCGGAGATCTCGCGTACAGGAAAGATCATTGCCGCAGTTATTCCTGGTGTATTCCTTGTGTTAGCGGTATGCCTCGTGTTATGGTGGATACGGATAAGACGAGGCCAGAATGCATCGCGCAGTACCCGCATAGCCCGCCCCTGTGAGTACAGTATGTACCCATTGCCGCACATTGATCAGCTAAAGGTAGTACTTCATAGATACGGAGAGCGGTAACAGGGGTGTCGGAGAATATACGACAGCCCCTCGACGACGGCCAAGGTGGTTCGAGGGTAGTTCCACGCTCGGACCAGACGCACGAAATGGTTCAAGGAACATCGCATCACTTCCTCCAGATGACCACCTCTTTACGCCACGGGCCGACTCGACTCGACAGCTGCTATCCCCCACGTCGCCGTTCATGCAGAGTCGCTTGAGTGTCTCCACGGCAGAGATCTTGAGTTCTGTTTGGCCTGAGGTCCCTAATGTCGCACAGGGTTCTGGCTCGGTCCCATCCGCCTGGAATGACGACGCCGTCGGCTCATCCATTCAGGACAGACGCAATGAGTGGCTTCCCCCAATAAGCGCATGCTCCTTCAGGGCGGACTTCTCATCTTCTTTTGGGTCGCTCAGCGGGCGTCGCCAGTCCCTGGACGGTGGGGTTCGCATCGCGGGAGGCCCGATAGGTGTCGCTCCAGAGGTCGCGACGAGGGACACGCCTTGGATGCTGCGCTACTCTGCTCAATCTCATGTCAAGGCAGATAGTAACAGCGAGCGCACGCTACCGCCGGAATATGGTCTTTACTTTGGTTGATCCTATGGGATGGGATTTCTGACCTCCATGGCATCGTGAGTTTATCTTTATTGGCTTCTCTCGTCTCGAGAACGAAACGGGCGGTTTCGTTGTTCTGTATTTGCACTACAGTGACGCTTCCTCCACATAGGCTATCTTGTGGTGAATTCGACCGGGCGACTCGGGGATACGGCTATGTACTATGTATTGGACATATAATGTACTGCCTCCCGCGTTGTTTGCTTGGGGATTGATGTGGGATCGTTTGCATATTTCTGAAGTTTGCCGTTCATTGGAAACCGGAGCGTGATGTACCTGTGAGTGTGCACCTACCCAAGAGAAACACGAGATTTGAGACTGGCTGAAACATGCGGAAACACGCAGAATGTGTTAAAATGCTCAACGTAGATGCATGTCATGTTAGACTGTGACATATAGTACATGAAAATGAAGAGAATCGCGGTACATGTCTTGGTATGTACAAGAGTAAGTGGTATATAGCTATCTGTACCGAGACGTCTGTGTATTCCCTTACATTTCAGAGTACCCAGACGAGGAATAATGGGAACTGCCCCTTCTACGATGGACGCCCCAGATTATGGTGGTCACCCTCGTTAATGTGATGGCGCGCATTCAGTCTGTAGCACGGTTAGCTACCTTCAAATCGGTTGTCAGCAATCCTGCACTTACACTGCTAGAAATGCATTGAGATAGCCTGTTGAGAATTAAATGAGCACATTTATAACATGACCATTTGGTCACTGGGTCCTCCGAATGGATAGAGAAAAGGACTGAGACGCACATGCCCCCCGGGAGAATGAGAACACCTCGGTCACCTGTACCCCTGTTTTGTAGTCCCATATATATGTCCCGAGCATGACTGCTTGTTGCAAACTGCATGGAGGAACATTAATGATGGTTGCAGGGGCCTAGCCAGGCAGAGTGGCGCACCAAAAGATGAGGCCTCGATTAGCGGTGTACTTAACCAGCTTGGAAAGAATGCCTTCCGAGCGTGCCGCATCGCTCTCGAGGATAGATCTGTATGTGCTCGCATTAGCCAAAATTCTTGACAAGCGTGATACGTGACAGACCGCTCTGTGGGAATCCGCGCTCGCTGAAACACAAAGCACAGGGAAATCGTGATGTACAGGTCGGTCACAAGCGTGATGACGTTGGTCGTAATGGTCAGTCTCTGAAATACATCGGGACCAAGTGGGTCTGATTAGCGGAGGAAAAAAACTCGCAAGAGCCACTTAAGTACGCACAAAGAGGTCCACGGACGCAGACGCGTCATAGCGATGGCTTTTGAAGTAGACCTCCATTAGCGTGGGGCAAATGCGGGAAGATAGGTGTCCTGATTCACAGATCATAGTACATCGCCGCTGCAACACAAGCTGAATGGGTACAGCCATCAGCATGTACCCCCACAATTCTCACATCATACACTCACCCAATGTAGCTTCGGCCATGATTGCCTGTTTCGGCAGCATCTATGGTGAGAAACAGAAGCATTGTGTTTTACATACGTATGCACGCACCGCAGATATGCAGCACAAACGGTTCCACCATGTGCGCGGACCCACTTTGTGGTAGCAATTTGAGGAGTGACTTTTGCATGAGAGGTATAAGAGAGGAGGTACGTACATTTCCAGATGATATAAATGTAATAGCTAGTGGTCATCGGTGTTAGTTACGGACATATAGTGAACATTATGAACCACACTTATTCACCATTGCACTGTTGAGCTCTCCACAAACTAGTATATGTCACGTATGAATCAATATTCAGGACGTGCGTTATGGCGGCATGCTTGCCATACATCGACAGTCTGTTCGATCTACATAGACAGGGCGTCAATAACACATTGAAATTGAAGCACATTCTTATATTTTGATCGATATGACATGAACTAACCATGTACGGTCTAGTGGTGATCGTGAGCTCTGTGACAAACAGGTAACAATGTTTACGAGCTTACGTGGGTACCTCCAATAGGGCTACCAGATCCGCGTGGTGTCGCACAAGGATAAACCATAACGTCTGCTTCGTGTTTAGTACCAGGTTCTCATGTGCTGTAGACACGCACCATAACACAAGTAATCGCCTTGATTGTGTCCGTAATCCTGTAACTTCAATCAATTCGAGAATCAAACAATACGGGATTATAAAATACCACAATACTGCGACCTGCAATATATACAATCAGAACTAGCTTCAAGAACTTTGAGGAGGAAGTGTACCAGCAGTTTCAGCCACAAAGGATCTTTGATATACTTGCTTACGTAGTAGCACATCTGAGCAACTGCGATACCATAGAATCTGAATCGCGGACAGGAGTCGGTCAGTCGCATTAAGATCGCCAACGGCCGCTATCCAAAAAAGGCAGACACATACATCGTCTCGAACAATATGCCAATTGTAACATACCCCAGGGAATTGTTGAAATTGAGCCGAGTGGTCTCAGACATAGCGGAGTGCTCGCGGGGACGTCGACACCTTGCCTATAGAAACGCTAATCTCTTATATCGTTATCCTGTCATAACTTTACGTGACAGATCAGGCACTGTGGGGGATTCAACCTGCTCGACTGACAGCTGTGGTAAAATTCCATTTATGAGATACTATTATTCGCCTTTGCGTATGCAGCCTTCTCTCGTCATCTTTAGCGAGACGTACCTCAATCTTAATCTTATCCTCATCTTCTAAATACTCTAGCATTGATCCTGCGAGGCTCAGCATCATTAGTACATAATGGACGTGTTAGATGGTGCTTATAATGTACTCGTCCAAGGTATTCAGGAACAGTTACACAATTGACGTGAGAAAACGCGACTTAAATAGCACAAAACGGAAGTCAGAAGGGTGGCGCTACGCTGCCTATGCAAGCGCTTGATGGCGTATCAAGTCTTGGCGCACGTGCCGTCTCAGAAAGTCCGCAACTTTGCTTTGGGGCATTATCAAAAGTTACAACGGCTTCTGTACGATGATCACTGAACCATATCTCCCTCCTTTAAGGGAAAACATGAAGTGAGTGTTATGAAAGTCCAACATCACCGTCTACAATCGCGCAAAATGGCCGTAATAGATCTCCTTTATGGGAGTCCCGTCGAGCCCGGTACTTGTTGTAATTACCCATGTCTTTGGCAGTATAGCTACTTCTGTGTTCGTATACCTGTTGAACTCGCTGTGTAAGCCGGCCTCGTGCACTAATGAGCCTGACGAGGAAAAATTACCATCCTAGCAATATGTGCCGTATTATTGCTGTGCCTTGCCTTGTATCAATGATGTTGATTCCAAGGCCTGTTACCCGTCCAAAAGGAGTTTCAAGGTAGTGTAACCAAGACATCATTGTACGTACCATCGTCGGCATCTCCATTGAGCAGTGGGGCAGAGACGCTCCCGTGGAAGCGTCGACGCTACGCGGTGATGGGCTCCATCTCACGATGAAGGAGGATACAAGTATTGAGACAGGCTCTCCAGCTTCGTTTATATAATGGTGCGCGTTCAATCTACGAAGCCGTCAGATAAGGTCATAAACACGGTGCGTAACACTCCTTACATAGCAAGAAACGCATTGAAGTATACTATTGTTCGCCGGAGCGAAGACCCGCCCGGCATAATAGATAAGGCAGTACGAAGTACGTTATATTGATTACACTCACCGAAGCCGCGCGAGAATGAAACAATTGCGGTCACATCCGTTCCCGTCCTGTAATCCAACATATAGAGCCCGAACATGATTGCTTGATCCACACTGCACATATAACGGATGCAGGTATCTGGTCAGGAGAGAAACCGAGTCGACTAATATATGAGGTGCCGCACCAGAGAAGGATGCCGCGATTCGCGGTGTATTTCGTCAGCCTGCCGAGGATACCTTCCGAGCGGCCAGTCGCATTCCTAAGAAGAGATCTACAGGCTCGACCATTTAGCTAATTCTATTGGCAAGTGAGTTGGGACAGAGGGGCGGAACAACGCACGTCTGCGAGGGCATCCGGGCGCTGCGGAAGATGACACAAAGCGAAATGGTGATGTAAAGATCTGTCAAGAGCGTCATAATGTTGACCGCGATCGTGAGTTTCTGGTGTGTCCATCAAGTAACAATTAGCCAATCAAGGCTGTGTGGTAGCGCTGCCGAGCATACACCGAGGTTCTGGAGTGCGACTGTATCCTCGATACTCAGGTAATACATTGCAGCCGAAACACAGGCTGGGATGGAGTCAAATGCGCCGTATCATATACCAGGGAAGACATACCTAAGGATGTCGCGGACATCAACGCCTTAAGAATGTTGTAAGCGAGTGCATGTTTACGTCGAAAAACAAAGAGACTCACTGCGAAAATACACAGCACTTTACTCCACCATCTGAAAGGGAATACTTGACGATGTGAGACGTAGTGTGAACCGCAGCCCTTAAATATGACATGTGTGTGTGGGTGGGGGGGGGGGGGCGGGCTAGCTTACTTGTCCAGATGATGTAGATATAATAGCTTTGCAGATAAGTCAGTGGCAATGCGATGCAGAAGAATTCCTCTGCGTACCATTGCACTGTCCCGCTTTCCACATACTGCGGATATCAAACACTTGTTCAGATATGAAACGGGGTTAAAACTCACATCCACAATCTGCTCGATCTAGGTAATGTATTAAGCTGAGGTAACAGATTGCGTGCATGGTACAAAGCGATGCACCTGATAGGGTCTATCTTACAAGGTGAGCTGCGGAAATGTAGTTTGAGATTTCGGGCATCTTACATGGGCACTGAGTACAACACAGCGGGATCGGCGTGGTGTTGAACAAGAAAGTACCAAAGTGTCTGTTCGACAATCAGTATGATGTCTCGCAACGGATAGTATTCCGTCGCTTAGTCGACAACCATTGGCCTATACAGACTGGCATCGCCAGTTGCCAGGTGTGTGTAACACGCACTCACCACGATGCAGCTTATTTCCTTGAACGTATCAGTTATCCTGAGCATTGAAATGTACACTGTCAGCCCAGATAGAGGGCTCGTTGACTGGTCCAAACCTGGAACCCACCACAAGAGGGCAACCTACAAGAAATCATACCCTTAGCTGATCATAGTACTTGGTTATTACGGCGAACAGACCAGTATCTTCAGCCATATAGGATCCTTGGTGTAGTTGCATGTATAATAGTACATTTGGGCGACTTCAATACCATACAATCTATGAAGCAGACATATAATCAGCATTCCTCCATTAGTAGGTGGTGCAAGATGGTACGCACACGGTCCCGAACATGGTCCCGATCGTGGTATACCCCGGAATATTGTTGAAATCGAGGCTAGCTGTCTCTGCCATGTTGGCGTACGAGTATCAGAAGATCGCGCATCGCTCTGTCTTCTCGTTCTCCAATATATGTTCAGGACTCAGTTACGGCGTCTTTAACGCGACGCGTATGGGCGCGACGCCCATGAACACCATGCTACCCGAGGTCTTATCGCTTGATCCAAGGTCCATGAGTATACCGAGCTGATATCTTCTGTTCCACGAGCATGCAGAAGTATGCACATGAAACAACGGCAACAAACATTGAACGCCATCAGAGACTTATCGGGCCGAGCCTAATGTTCTTTGCCACTGTAGCTGACTCCGAATCCAGGAGTGACATAAGTCGCAATTAATTATGACACAATTTAATGTACTGGGAAGTGTACCCCTGAATTGAATGTTCTTTATATGTTGTGCGATGAATAACATGCCGTATCTGAAGTGCTTGCGTTCAGGTAATGACGTGCATTCAATCTAGATAATGGTCGGTCAATGAACACAAGACAGAAAGGACCACCTACACCGCAAGGAATGCATTGAAATACACTGCATTATAGCATGCACATAGATCAGTTAAACCAGTAGGAGCATACGCACCAATGAGGTACGATATGCTACTCACATGCACCACGCGAGAAGGAGAACATTTCAGTGGCTTGCATACCCGTCTTGTAGTCCCAGACGTATGTTCCCAGTAGTAACGCCTGATGCAAGCTACATGGAATGGATCATCGCACTTTGGTCGTGACGCACTGACACGTACCAAAGGATTATTCCCCTATTAGCAGTGTACCTTGTCAACTTGGAGAGAATGCTTTCTGAGCGGCCCGATTTGCTCTGAATGATCGACCTACGATCAGGGGAAGGGAACAGTGAGCAGCTATGATAACCCCTATTACGTATGTAGTGTAACGCACGGCTCGATAGGCATCTTCACACTCTGAAAGATGATACAAAGCGAAATGGTGATGTAGAGATCTGTTATGAGCGAGATGACATTGGTCGCAACAGTCACTTTCTGGTGCCGATGATTAGTTGTGCACCTAGAGCAGACAAAGAAACAATACCCCAAGGCTTGCTAATGCTGAGGTGTCCTCAATGTCTCTGGCAATCAAGACAAGCTACAGAAGGAGACATTGCTCGAGTAACAGAAGCCACTCACAGGTAGTACATGGCAGCTTTGCGACAAAGCGTCAGTCGGTAAGCACGCCCGGAAGTAAAGATGTCGAGAAAACCAGCTTACCGCTCACACAAGCTGTTCCCCTCCCTCGTGAGGCACATTCACAAAGCAGAGTCCGTGATGGACTTACCAACAGAGGTAATGGACATGAGTATCTGTAAGTGATTGTCCATGAGATTTGCCATCAGATGCCCCAAATCTCGACAGTAAAGCAAGCTCACGGCAAGAAAGAAGAGTAGGCGATTCCACCACTTGTGAGTACCCACTATTGAGCAGACGTGGTGAAAATGGATTGATTGGAACAGGTCCTGCTGTTTGGGTACGTACCTTTCCAGCCGATGTAAATATAATAGCTGCGGGACATATAAATAAAATCAAACAGTACAACTGACTGACACTCACCATTGCACTGCAGAGCTTTCAACAAACTTTACAAGATCAGAGGTGAGTAAGAAGTCAGGGTAGAGGTGCGTACATCGACGATCTGTTCAATCTATGTTCATGTTGATAAATCGCAGATAAGAGCGAGTCACATTTCATCTATCAGAACGTACTATGTAGGGCCTTTTCTAAACGCATGAGATCCGTGAATGGGTGAATGATAGCATAAATAAGACTGACGTTGGAACGGAAGCTAGTGCCAATGGATCTGCATGATGTTTGAGAAGCAATGACCACAACATCTACTCGGCATCAGATTGAAGCTCTTTTGCGAGCGCAGCTTTTGAGCTCACCATGACACAAGTAATCTCCTTGAGGACATCTGCAGACCTAAGTGTACTTGTGAGTCTAAGGTGGGTACGATGACCGTGCTCTAACGCACCATATTGCCGCTACCTGAGGGTCATGTATGATACCAAAGCCAGCTTATCGTCAGAAGCGACGCAGGCACGTACCAGGCCCTTCAGCCATAGTGGATCCTTCGGGTAATTGCTCATGTAGTACAACATCTGCGCGAGTGCCATGCCAAACAGTCTGCACCGCCACCGTATGCGGATCGAGAGCGTCAGATCCGCTGGAAGAGATTGCCCAACAAGTTAAGTACGCACGCAGTACCGAATATTATGCCGATGGTCGGGTAACCCACGATGTTGGTGAGCTCTGCGCTTGTGACCGCAGCCATGGCGGAATACCTCCAACGGTGTGCAAGGGGCTGCGCGGGACGTGCTAGGGCGAAGGACTCGGAGAGCAAGTATTAGTAGCCGGCGGGCGTAACGCTGATCGGCCCCTAAAACGGACCCCGATCATCTCGGATCTTACTCGGTATCAGCATGATGGCGCCCCTCGTCAGTGAGTTTGAGCAAACCACTTACTGTAGTAATTTGTAGTGGGTCTATGTCAGGTCGGAATCTAGTCAGGAGTGAGGTCGTGAGGCCAGGGCCCTTCCGCGTGAAGATGCAGATGATATTATGTCGTTCGACCTGCTTGTGCGCAAGCGGGGTTGACGGAGACCATGGTCCCGACCTCGTTGATATACCAAATTGCCAAATTAGGCTGTTGTATCAGAAATCCGCTTGGGCGAGCGACTTCGAGTCTAACGATATGCAGTCAGCTGGAAGTCAGCACTTCGATCAGAAGCAAACCATTAATGATCGCCGGGCTACCGGAGCGAGTTAGGCGCCTGCGACATTCGGACGGATATCCCTGCAGAATGCTATGAATAGGTTTCGGCTCACCAGTATCCCCTGGCCACGGACTATGACAGACGAACAATAACTGTAGAGTAGCAATGACGCTCCTAAACGACCTATATTCACTCACGACTCAACCGCCGGAGGCCATTGTGCCTGGGCATTCCGTGGTGTACCGGCAATGGGCACAACTTCATAATTCTCCTTGCGCACACAGACGCTGTGGTCGCGTCCCAGAATCCAACGATTACATTCTGACATAAAAATAACTGTTCGTCTCCATCACCTGCGCTGCCTGTCTGTGAATATTTGCCATGAATGAAAGACTGTGGTCATTCGACTCACAATGAGCATGGTTTACATTCAAACCGTGGTCCGTAGCGTGCCTTGAATGGGCATGTGCAATTTAGGAATGAACTGGCGTCGGATATCTGGGCATCGCAAAACGGCAGGACAGCGAATCTATTATAGACGCGTTGTTACTTGTGATGATGAGAAAATGTCGGATTTAGGCGGGTAGCATGCGTACCTTTCGTGCGCTTCCGAAAGGCAGGAAAGCATCACCCGCCCAGCTCTCACCCTTATTGTGCTGTTACGCCATATAGATTTAGAGTTTATCAACATCATTATCTCCCTTATTGAGTGCGCACTACGGGTAGTCCCACCATGAGTACTATTCGTGATTCTGCTATTGTAGCTCTAGACCACCAGCGCAAGACTGCCCGGTACTTACTCATACATGTATGAACAAGATTATCGTTTAGGACGACTATTGCTCATCATTGTCCGATTGTACTCTACTACCAGACATCGTGGAAGACGATATCAGCATGGAGCTGTGCCGGACGGATCTCGCTGATCGTGCTTGCCCACGAAGCAGACCCGCGCTTGCGGAATTTTTCTTCATCTCAGCCTTGTACGCGGAAACGGCTTCTTTATCCTATTGGAAGGAATTGTGAATAAGTCACGAACTTCAGGGAGAAAGACATGGTGCTGAGGCAACACACCCGCGTCGATGCTGGGCGCTTGGGACCCCAGCCAATGCATTCGATATGCCGGCGGCGACAATTAGCGCAGGACTCTCCCGGAGTGCTCGACTGTCCATCACATTTCTAGAGAAGTATCAATAAAGGGAAGTTCAGTGTTGGGCTGCGAAGCACACATACTACCCGACGCAGTCTACAAGACCTACATGAACCCAGTCAATTCAACTGGCTCTACATAAGGCCATAGAACGCATCCTACATACCAGCAACCACGTTTGGTAGTCTCCTCTGCACTTGCTCGTGTCTTGCCGGATGGATCGTCGACGACAGGCACTGTTGTTTCTGGACCTCGTGGGGGCTCTCGACCCTGGCGCCTGCTGTGAACCTCAGACTCGAACATCATTGTGCCCACTTCATACATCTGAGTATTGACAGCGAGGAACAGCGTTCATGACATACCTCCGTCGTTGTCCGTTTCCACTGTATATGGTATCTGAAAGTCATGGAGTCCGGTCTGAATTCAACAGATATGTCAATACAGAGACCGTGGAAGCTCTCAGATAGCACTCATACATCTGCTAGAAATAAATCGACGTCCACATCACATGCGATGGCTATAGCAGCTGTTGATTGCTATATGTAACGATAATCGGCGATTAAAACAGAGGCAGACCAGGTTTTGCGTACCGCCAGGATAGCATCTAAAGCCGCGTCGACGGGATCATAACGCTAGCAAAGCCCCCAATCACCATCCTGACAAGTGCTGACCCCAGGTAAGATTGGCATACCTTATTTTGCTCGGGAACCGACTCTATGCAGTCGTCGTCGTCATCCGAGGCTGTGCTCTGTATATCTAGCATGGGCCCATCGTCTCCATCGTCTGGCTGTTGTGGGAGGTTGTGAGGCCTCGCAGCGGCTTTGAGGACCGTAGGCCATAGGCCAAAGCGGACTTTCAGCTTGTAGTACTGCAGAAACACGCATTGATCTCTCACGGGGCCGACCCGGTGCGCGCTACCTGTCCTGTGGCGCTTGCCAGACGGCACGGAAACAGGTCCGCGTCTCTCACGGGGGCCCGAGTTCTGCTGCAGGATCGGAGACGCGCCTTCCGACACGGACACGGACAACGACGCGTTTGCCTGGAAACCAAAGTTCCCGTTGAATGAGAGCTGGGCGGCCCGGCCTTGTTGCATGAACGCCGCGGCGGTCCAGTCCGCCGTCTTGGCCCATCCGCGCACGAAGATGATGTCGTCCTTGTCCAGCATGAGGCCCTGCACCTCAGTGGCGAACACGTACCAGCTGTAGTAGTGCTGCCGCATGTACTTCACCATCCAGCGATTCGGGAGGAGCGCATCGCGGTCGATGGGCTCCTTCGTGATGAGGACCGCCCCCTGTTCGTCGGTGCATTGGAAGTTGAGCCCGCCGCCCGAGTCATGTCTGTGAACTACATCGTAAATGTATGCAAGCGGTATCTCTACTGATGCACGCACACCACCACTTGCGCAGATGCATTGATGCACTTGATGGTCTGGCTACAGAGAGGGCCGGCGGGCAGGTCGCTCTGACGCGTAATGCGCGCATAATCGGTGCCGAGTTCCAATGGCTCGTACCCATCTGGAACGCCGTATCGGTTGAGGGGATCGTCCGCAGTAACCGTTGCATTGAAGAGCCGGTAGAATGCACCTTCATTAATGAAGCCCACGTCGCCAATCAGTACTTCTCCGTGCTTGGTTGGCTCGGGATCCCATAGAGGGTACCCATGTCCGAGGCGGAAGAGCTGTTCTGCGTATACGTCCCAAGAGCTAGACATGGGGTGTACATTTCCTAGTAGCATCACCGTGATGTTGATATAATTCCCACACAAGCGCTTCGCCATCCCAGGATTGACGAAGGCTATGCCATGGCGGTGCCGGCATAGCACCATTCACTTGCGTAAGGTATGCACTGTGTGGCAGGATAATGATGCTCACAATAGCACAGCAACTCAAGTGCTGGTAGGGTTCCATTGAAGCCAACGAGGTGAGTGCATGAATACCCATGATGCGTTGCCGTATAGCTGTACACTTTCTACTATTTCATGCTTTCGTTGGCTGCACAGCGTGTCCCGTCAGATACGTAAGTCGTGATCCCGTTCGGAGTATGGAAAGGGTAATGCAATCTCACCATTGAATGAGAGTGGGTGCAGCTGCGACGGCCCATATGTAGGCCGCTGGCCGCTGGTAGATGCAGGTGTTGGACCAGACGTCACGCCCATAGATAACACGTCAGTAGCCATCGTGTAATGCGTACAGTGCATATAGGCAAGCATTACCGGGAGTCGTCATCTTTCTGCTTGTCAGACCCTTAGTGCTCCACGTCTGCACACTACAAGGCGTCCTCAAGTGCGCTCAACGACCTACCCTCCCTCTTCCAACCGTCATCAGCATCCTCTACTCACCTGCTCCTAACGTGTAAACGTCTGTTAGTTCACACATAACTTATATCATAGCATACGGAGCATCCCAGTCCTATGAATAAAAGTCCCATGAATCTGGAATATACGCGTCCGAACCTACTCTCCCCGGAAGACTGGCTTGCGCTTCTCCCGGAACGCGTCAAGCGCCTCAACTCGATCGCGCGAGTGTAAAAGCGGCTCGTAGCTTGCCCATTCGAAATCCAGCCCTGCGCGTCGCGGGAGACTTCTGTCAGCGGATGTTACAGCCGGCACAGAGAAACGCAAAGAGAAAATACCCACCGGAATCAAGGCTAAGCTCAGGCGCGCGCGAAATCGCCTGTTTTGCCGCTCGCAGGGCCAACGGTGCTGCACAGGAATAGACACCTCAATATATGCGGGTCGGGAGGGTACATGTGAGTCATACCGTTTTGTGCAATGTCCGAGGCGACTTCAAGCGCCTTGTCTACCGCAGACACTCCAGGAGCAGAGATGTAGTCCACGAGGCCTGTTACACCGGATGACAACCTTAGCCAACACGAACTTACACTTATAAGCCACCATACCAATACCAAGGGCCTCTGCAGCGTCGAGTGTTCGCGCCGTGAAGATAAGCCGCTTTGCTTTGGCCAATCCGAGCAAGCGGGTCAGACGCTGTGTTCCACCAGCCCCTGGGATTATGCCCAGCCGTGTCTCTGGGAGGCCAATCTTGGTGACGGCGTGCCCTGCGAGTTGTCAATACGAGTAGGGTGGGCGTTGACACGCCATACCAGCAACTCTGAGATCACATGCGAGGGCAAGCTCGAGGCCACCACCGAGCGCGGGACCGTCGATGGCCGCGAGGGTAGGGAGCGGAAGGTTCTCGAGAACGGCTAGTGCTGCGCGCAGGTCGAGAAGAAACTTGTCGACCTGGGCCTTGGACATGGAGCGCCGCTCAACGAGATCGGCGCCAGCACAGAATACGCCAGACGTAGACGAACGGAGGACGAGGACGCGCGCGCTGGGCAGCTTGGTGAGTGCGATCCTGCAGGCCACGCAGTAGTACCTGCTCACCCCTTGTCGAACTGCACTTCATCGAGGCACTGACGGAACTCCTGGAGCACGAGTATGTGGCATGGGCGCGAGGGATGCAAAGAGGACGACGGGCACCTCAAGGAGCCTGAGCGAGATGGCGTTCTTGGCTTGCGGGCGGTTGAGCGAGAGATATGTCACGCCGGGGTGCGTCGCAGGCCGTTCGAGATAAGCTGAGGCTGTGGTTGCGGCTGTTTGAATGAGTCGTTGGCCGCGCGCACGACATGAGGTGAGGACCGGACGAAGGGAAGAACGGACGAGCATAGTAGCTGGTCGCAGAGGAGCACCGGGCGCTTCCCCATGGGGAAGGAGATCAGACGCGTACGGATCCTTTTCTTCATGCTGCACTTTGAGTCGCCCGCCAGCCCCGACCAGACGTTCATCTTTGAGCCCGTCGTTGCGCACGGAATTGGGCCTGCCTATGATCCTGAGCAGGCACATCTTGTATTTCGGCACAATTCGCAGATTGTGCGTCCTTCGACTCGACGGCCCATTTTTGGAATATTCCGAACGTGCCCACCGTGGGCCTCGTGGGATCTTGTACAGCCTGAGCGAGTCAAAGAGATTGCGGAATCAGAAACATGCCTCGTTTATCTAGGCACGCTGGAGTATCGCGAGGAGCCAGACCCTAAGGAGCCCATATGGACGAAGGATGTGGTGTGCAAATTGGTTTATTCCCCGTCGAATGAGGATCACCGGAATGAAATCGATTGCTACGAACGCTTGCGCGACCTCCAAGGCTCCTCAATCCCCATTTGCTATGGGCTCTACAAAGGCAATGTCACCAGCGGCGAAGGTCAACGTAAAATTGGAGTCAGCTGCCTTGTACTCGAGTACTGCGGCCTACCGACATCGTTCTCGAAAATGAACAAAGCGTTTCGGTACGATAATAATTGACAGTTGAGACACTATTAACAGCAAGCTAACGAACGTCTTCGTCGTTCATCGTAGGATGCAACTGGTAAAGATCGTGGAGGCGATCCATGCGAGAGGAGTCTTACACGGGAACATTTCAGCTGGCAACATCCTCGTGAAAAAGGTCGATGGTATAGCGCAACCCGTCGTCATGGATTTTAAGAGATCTTACCCAAGGCATCAATGCTCTGCCCAACCCCAGCATGCTATCCGGTTTGGCGGTCCAGAACCGTATGGGCAGGATAACGTTAACCCCTGCAGTGAGCTATATTGCACTGCCAAGCTCACTAGTACATGGATATCTCGTGAGTGCGATGTCGATTTATGTTTTCACCGAGCCCTTATCACAGGGGCGCGAGCTAGCATACTTCAAATATTTGCGCGGTTGGGCGCAAATTTGTTATGCAGAGGACTGCAACGCAGAGGGCTTAGTACAGGATTATGGGCTGCACTACTCGGATGATACAGATGGGAAGAAGCATGCCGCAGCGATTCGTGCAGCAGAAAATGTGATAGTCATGTATTGGGAGAGAAAGAGAAAGAGGGAGGAGATTGATAACTACCCGATGTGATGAACACAATTACCGTGTTCTAACGTTGTGGAAACGAGATCCCCCCCGTAAGCGCACTATTTTCTGCCAGTAAGCCTTGTGGGTAATTGTCATATACTAGATATGGATCGATTGTTATCCATGTCCGTTTATGGTTAGCAACGCAGACTAGGGAATTGTACGTTCACAGTTCAAGAGCCGCTGTGCGTCGTTGCATATGGTGGGACTTCCAGTTCGCCCTCCCCCCCCCCTTCCCCCCTGAATCATGCTTACTGCCAATTTGAAGCGAACTCAGGGTGAATATGAATGGGTATGCAGGGGCTTCCCGCCACAAATGGCCTAAACTTCCGCCATGCATTCTGACAGTACACATTGTCTTGACATCCGCTCTGTGAGCCTCCCAGCCGAGATTGACCCTTCCCTACAAGTGCACGTAAGAGCCGGCAACCGCTTGAGATAGGAATCACCCTCTCATAGGCATGCACCCACGAGAAGACGACTGTAAACGAAGGCTATATCTGCTTAGTTAAAAAACGTGACGGGAAGCCCGTCCACAATCGTTTCCTCATTGCCGTCCTCCCGTTTCTTCAACTGTACGAACCCATACATCCTCACCCTACCTTGCCGCCAGCTTTCCATAGTGGGTGCTCGGTCGTCACTGCAGCGACGCTTCACTCCAACCCTCTGGAGTACAGGGCTATCGAGGCGCGGGACCAGCTTCACATCGTCATGCGGCATCGCGAAGTAGAAGATGCCGAGACGAGTGAGGCCGCGCTGGTCCGGCGGAGGCTGCACAACGCGGTGGATCGTGCATTTGTAGAATCCCCCCGAGAGGAAATCCATCGCATCGCCAGAGTTGACCACCTGCAATGTCACAACGTGATTTATGGCCGAGCAACGAGCCACGAGGTGCGCCGTACCACTGCATTGTCAATGTGCTTGACCCATCGCCATTTCCCGTCTGAACAGAGAATCTGCAGAGCGGAGATCGGCTGGCTCCAGAGAATGGTGACACTGCCGAGATCTGCGCCTGGTCGTCAGAGTCTCTCTGTTCACATAGCGATTGTGGCGTACCCGTATGACCCTTCAGCCACACATTTTTGGTCTTCTCCTCGTCCTCCTCAGTTCTAGGATAGCTGGTGTATATCAGATGTCTGGAGATGCAATGAGGGTCAAATATTAACTTACTATCTCGTGAAGCGCACTGCAAGGTAGATCCGAAAAGGTGAAGCAGTGCTACTAAATCAATGCTGTCTCAGTCTTACCATATGATTCTCCCAAGACATCAAATTTGTGCTGGTCGACGAAGGTTTCCTCAGGAAGTTCCAGTCCGATGGCTAGCAGGCTGCGCGTATGTAGTCAATTATATTCCGTGCTGCCAACTGGATCGCCATACTTACCGCAAGATATTGTGGAGCACCTCAAAGTGATTGAACTTGATAAAAGACTCGATCTCGGGCATAAGCGTTTGAAGGGCCTTCGGATGCTTCTTCCTGGCGATGTCGTGATTGACTGCCATCCATGTCGCTCGGTGAGAATCGGCTACGTGTATGAGTTACGATACTCACTATTGTAGTGCTCCAGCTGGTCGAGGACGCCATTGTCAATGTGCTGTCAGAACCCAAAGCTTAGTGCCTGTGTTCTTTCTAGCTTTCTATTGCAGATCGCCGCCATACCAAAACCGAGCGCATCTTGTATCCTTGGTAAGAGCCTGCGCCCTTCATGTCCGCAGCGTACAGCCGCTTCTCCTCATTTGGGACAGAGTTGAAGGGCACATCGGCAATATCAAAGATACGTTCATTCTACAGTATGCACGAGGTCATCATTGCGTTGCTAACGTTCGCGTGCACGACGCACCTCGTGCTGAGTCAAGCCATGGTTGATGATATAGAAGAAGCCCTGGACAGAGAGCGCGTCGCGGACCTCGAGGGCTAGCTCAGCACGACCCTCTGGAGTATGCACTTTGGCGAAGTCAATTATGGCTAGGTCCGCATAATCCACTTGAGGCAGAACACCACGTCAGCGAGCGCAACGTAACCTGTCTACAGCACTTACAGTTCTCCTTCGTAGGAGGAGGAGCAACATGTCGCGGAACTTGGGGGACGGTGAGGCTGGGCATGCGAAACTCCGGTTGAACGTATCTGAGTAGTTTTGTCCGCTTGCCGGCGCTTTCCAGCAAGTTGACCGGACAGGCATCTGGTTCATCGCAGAGTATTTGTACTCGCACGCGACGAATCTAACGGAGACGGTCTAAGTTTCGGTGTCTGAGAGATAGGAAAAGAATCAGAACACGCACGTCAGGTACCCCTACTGATATGTGAGATCGCAATGACCTAGATCCTAAGAGTACTGTTTGCTATGGAGTGAGTTTGCTTCGTAGTATCAGCATCGCTTCGTATCAGCAAGTTTCTGAGATAGAACCACCTGGCTGCAACGTTGGATAGTGCTATCACGCACAGAGAGTTCAGGCATGTCGGCACAGATTGAACGCGGGTGCCCGCCCTCCGCATGTCAGGAGCCAACAACAGCACCCCAGATGTCGTCGCAGGCGTTATCAACTCATGCGACAATGCATGAACCTTCGTCAGAACACCCATCCAGTCTGCCCCACATGAGCTCTTGCATTCTTATTGACTAGCGGAGAAACGCTAAAAACACCACCGTACGTTCTGCACGACTTCAGTACTAAAGAGTGTCGCCGAAACATCTGCTATCGCCTGCATATATGGAAGTACACGAGATCAAATATTACCTTCAAAAGTGACATCATCGACTTTTTCTGACAATAATGACTCTGGCACGTTGGCAGAAAGCGCCTTGGCCTCGCCGGATTCAGTCATGGTCGACCTGAATAATGAATTTGATGAGCCCGACAGCGATTGTGCTTGCGTTGAATAGCAGAGATCAACATACTGTATGGTCGAGACCGATGTTCGGCGGACATGAAAGCTAGTTATGGGACTTGATGACGTGTCCCCGCAGGCCTGTATGTCCGTTGCATTCAGAGGTGGACGACGAGCATTGAGACTACGACGAGATCCGAGATCAGCGGTTGACATTTACTTCGGCACTTTCGAACGCACGTGGCTAAGGCCGTATTGATGTTCACTGGGGCGTTCACACAAAACATGAGCACTATTGGACAGTGGAAGCATTGGCCGGTAACGTACACGTCCCAGCAAAGCAGTACACCCCATCCATGGCTTGTGTACCATTGGGCTTGTACTACACGGTGATCTCATCATTGATTACTTGAGTTCTGTGGGTCCAGAACATACCGTGACGATGACAAGGAGCTGGATGAGACTTGCATACTTTTAGTGAGTTACGAGATAAAACTGTCGACTTGCTGCGTCATTGTTGACTCGGGTGCAGTCTGCAGACGGGCCCCGGTGGCCTCTGTACGGAACAGGACGTCCATGCTCCTTTGATCAAGCTGCGAGCCCCTGCAGATGAGGCGATGTGGAGTGTACCGATGCTGATCGGCAGGAATGCTGCGTGCATGATGGCGAGAAAGATTTGGAGGAATATTGGTTGATTGAGATGGGATCATGTCGCGTTCAATGTTTCCTCACATCTATATTAAGTCGCGACGAGCGCATCAGCTTCGCCTCCGGGAAAGTGGGAAATAACGCGGAAAACAGTGCGAGAGAAGCATATTTGTGACGCACATGAGATCTAACGTATCTGAGTCATAGCCAGATACTAGCTCTGGGAAAAAGGTAGGAGCACGACATGCACGACTGTGGCTTGATTGCACATCTATGTATGGTGGCAGTGAAAGCCATCTATCTACCGATGCGGATGGGTTTTGCGTACGGGTCCCGCACAGTGAGAGCGGATCTGAATCTCTCGGATAGTCTCCGGCTCAAAGCCCTCAGGCCGGGCCGGCCGCGCGGCCTATGAGTGCTCAGCGCTCAGGGCCCGGTCTGCGATTTGTGAAAGCCGAGGCCGAGCCGTGAGCGGGCGGCTTCGGTATATATTACCATTTGTTCTTGTCGCTTGAAGGGCAAGATGCCCGGCAGTGAAAACTTACTGATATGTACTCTAGAGACAGCAGAACCATCAGTAAACATCGTCAATTCAGTATCTGAGGTGCGCTCTTTCAGCACTGCTTTGATACCTTACCTACCATCAAGATCGAACCTCTTGAAATGACAAGCATTCCTTGACGGATAGCAAAGCGTGGGTATTCTGCATGCTCATGGAACAAAGAATATCAGCTCAGTATACTCATGAGCCATGAGCCTTGGTTCGAGCGATTAGGCGTCGGGTAGCACGGTTTTCATGGGCGGCGCGCCCATACACGTAGCGTTAAAGGTGCCGTAACTGAGTCCTGAACATATATAAGATAGAACGATGCACGATCCTCTGGTCCTCACACGCCAACATGGCAGAGACAGCTAGTCTTGATTTAAACAATGCTGTGGGGTATCCCATGATTGGGATCACGTTCAATACGGTGTGCGTACCATTTTGCACCACGTTCTGATGTAGGAATGTTGACTATATGTCCGCTCCGTAGATTTTATGGTATTGCAGTCGCTCAAATATGCTATTATACACACAACTATACCAAGGATCCTACATGGCTGAAGACACTGGTCTGTTCGCCGTAATAACCAAGTACTGTGATCAGCTAAGGGTATGATTTCTTGTAGGTTGCCTTCTTGTGGTGGGTTCCAGGTTTGGACCAGTCAATGAACCCTCAATTTGGACTGACAGTGTACATTCCAATGCTCAGGATAACCGATACGTTCAAGGAAATAAGCTGCATCGTGGTGAGTGCGTGTTACACACACCTGGCAACTGGCGATGCCAGTCTGTATGGGCCAATAGTTGTCTTGCAACGGATAGTAGTCCGTTGCTTAGTGCACATCATGTTGATTGTTGCACAGATGCTTTGGTGCTTGCTTGTTCGACACCACGCCGATCCCGCTGTGTTGTACTCAGTGCCCATGTAAGATGCCCGAAATCTCAAACTACATTTCCGCTACTCACCTTGTAAGATAGACCCTATCAGGTGCATGGCTTCGTACCATACACGTCACTGTTACCTCAGCTTAATACATTATCTAGATCGAGCAGATTGTGGATGTGAGTTTTAACCACGTTTTATATTTGGTCAAATGTTTGATATCCGCAGTATGTGGAAAGCGGGACAGTGCAATGGTACGCAGAGGAATTCCTCTGCATCGCATTGCCACTGACTTATCCGCAAAGCTATTATATCTACATCATCTGGACAAGTAAGCTAGCCCCCCCCCCCCCCCACACACACACACATGT